CACCAAATTTACTATGTTTGCAAGTTTATTTTAAACATAGGAAAACTTGCTAAAAATAGGCAATAGACGCCTCTCCCATTGCCAATAGACGGGGTTTCTTTTCTGTGTTTTGTTTTCAGGGTTAGTAAACAGCAGAAAGCATTTACTCAGCATTTTCTATTTGCTGTTGTATATGGTGGTGTCTCTCACAGTGCCAGTATGCTGTCTCCTTATTTCCTCTTGCCCTCAGATCAGGAGAAGCCCTCTCACCTAACTGTCTTGCAAATGTTGCATCATGCACAATACGGCACCCAGACCTTCAACACTGCACCAACAAAAGAGGCAAAAATCAGTGTGTCATGTTTCCATCACTGACGATCAGAGGGAGCTGACTGGAGCTGTTGATGATATTTACTCTTGACTAATAAAGAGGCATTCATCTCGGGAATGAATGCTGATTGTTACTTTTCCAAGATGAAAGACAGATGGTAGTGGGGTTTTTCCAGTGGGAAAGGGGCTTAAAGCTGGATTTATACTTGTGCGTCAGCTCTACACAGAGCCTGTGTCTTAGCCTACACACGTGGCCTACACTGTTGTGAGCATTTATACTTGTGCAGTGTGTCTGCAGTTACACATCCAACACACTAGTCGGCAGTGGGGTTTCTGTGAAGTGCTGTAAAGTTAAGTAGATTCAAAACACACCCAAAACACACATTAAACATGGCTTAATAGCGAAAGCTTCAAACACAAGTGCACAAATCAGCTTCACTACAACTCACAGCATTCACAGACAAAGCATTAGTCTTTTGCTGGACACATTTTCCCCACAAATACAACATGCTAATGTTTTTAGCACAAGCCTATGGAATTTTACATTGTAAAAATTAGCCTAGCGGCTTGCAGACTTTTCCTCTACTCATATGAAGCCAGGGACAACAGCAACATTTAACAAAGGTAACGTTACAAACATCGGCTCTATTACAACTCACAAGGTTCGCTGACAAAACAACTGTCTTATACTAAACACGTTTTCCAAAGAAATGCAACATGCTAACAATATTAGCACAAGCCTATGGCATTTTACACTGCATAAATTAGCCTAGCTACGAGCGGAGATTTCCTCTCCTCATATGAAGCCACGATACAAGATTTAAAATGCTATTTTGTGGAGGCTTTACTGTCTTCACAATTTATTGTTTCTTATCTGTGAAATTAAAGTAAATAAAAGCTTTCCACTGAGGGAAATGGTTTCAGCTTGCAAAAATAGACAGGAGGTCTGTGTTGCTGTGATGTGTAGTTACATTTCTGGGGAGTTGCACATCAGGCTTCGGCGTAGGGTACGGTGCAGAATTATAAATCATGCGTTAAGACTGTGAAAAGATCACAGTCAGATCCCACTTGATTGGACGAAGATGCTAGTTTTAAAATTCCTGTTGGTATGGAGGTTGTATTCCCAAACAGAATATGGCCTGGGAACCAAGTTTTAGAAACAGAAATCTCAGCACCTATAATTATCAAGTCACACTGGTATTGACCAAATACCCTATCACCTCCCTGCAGATACAGTATGGTCATGGTTCTGCAATGGAGCAGCAGAAATCTTCCATATCACCTCTTTAACTGGCAGCTGTGGATGCAGAGTCTGATTTTGCCAGCACAGCTATTGGATGTCGAACCAGATATGGAGGTGGTTAGTACTGCATTTGTAACCTGACTTAAAGCGCTGATACAGACAGGAGATGGACAGCAGACACGCTGCGGTTGTGTTTATATTGCATTGGGTGTCTGTGTACAGTAGGTGGACGTGTTCACACGTTTGGGCGACATGGTGACAGTCCCTCACGGACATGTGGACTGTGGAAAGTGTCATTTCAGTTACACATTACATTGATATCTGTAGTCATACTCCAGTTTGGTAATTAGTGAGTCTCAGAGCCACTCATGCAACCTCCCAGTGCTGGTGTTAGTGACTGTATTTTTGAATATTAAAACTGGAGTGACAATCTGTTAAATGAGCAATGACTGCCTCTATATCTCATCTCTAGTTCTCTTTGTGTCTGCGTCTGTCTGGGACTAGTCATCTCACAAAACACACCGGGATGATGAAACTGCTTCAGCAGGCCTTAAACGAGAGTCATTAGAACACATCACAGTCGCTCATAGACTGCTTTGAAGATAAAACGAGAGCTCCTGCAATGAGAGAAGTAAAAAGCCCGGTAATAATAAATGGCAGAGGTCATTTCCCTCTTGCATCTTTCAATTCTTGTGTTTGTAGTAAATCTCTCTCATTATGTCACTTTGAGGAACTAACAGTAACAATGAAAGAGAGGGAAAGGAAGAGGGGAAGAGAGCGGGATGGGAAGAAAGGAGCATAACAAGTACAGCTGAATGTATTTTTTAAACCCTCTTATCATCTCTCACCTTTTCTATTACTCATTCAGTAGCTTTCATACCTCCCAAAGACGTATCCCCCTCACCAGGTGATCCTGTGCCTTCCTGTTAATAATTTTTCTCTTCTACAAATGATGCATTAGCAAGGGGATCATTTGACATGTTAATCATTTAGATGATACTTCAAAGAGAATGCGTCAAACGCTTTGGGGTTGCATTTTTGATGTATGAAAGGCGCTATATAAATAAAGTTTGATTGATTGATTGATTGAAATCAGTGGAACCGAATCAAACTTTCACTCAGTTCAGTGTCCGTAGTTGAACCACGCTCCACTGAGTTCTCAGTGAGCCAATATGCTTGTAAACACAAAGCAAGTGTTCAGGACTAAGGCAAATTGCCTACTTTGGCAAAACTCCAAAGCTGGCTGGCGACTCTCCAAAATGACCACAGCTGCAACAAACTCACAAATTGTGAATCAAGTGAACTGGCGCAGAATCGATTCGCTGCTATCAGACAGGAAGAAAGGGAGAATCAAGTTAATTAAAGGAATCTGTCACCACTATGGCGCATTCGCTTTCTAGACACAGCTCTGGGATCCTGCACTACATTTTAAATGACTGAAAAGTGTTTTAGTAAACCTTCAATGCAACATGAGTAAAATATAAAGATACATGGATAATAATAAAATAGGACTTTAAGATCCAATACGTAGTGTTGAGAGGGATCTATTGGTACAAATTAAATAACATGCAATAGGTATGTTTTCTTTAGTGGATAATCTCCTGAAAGTAAGAGTCATTGTGTACAGAGGGAGCGGGTCCTCATCTATGGAGATCACCATATTGTACCACCATGTTTCTACAGAGGCCCAGAATGGACAAACCTAACACCAGCTCTAGATACAACCATTTCTTTACTGGTTGAAATCACTGGGTCCGTTTGTTTTGTAGAGATAAGCCCTCTTTCCACCAAGCAGTACGGTACAGTTCAGTTCGCAATGCTTTTCTTACGTGTCCACTGTGAAAAGTTGTGGATGGTACCAATGGAACCGTTCCGTACCGTCCTCATTTTTGGTCATCCCTAGCACACAGATCACTGCAGTCTGTTTATTTGTCAATAGGAGAAGATCACTCTGCACAGGGCTGAGTTGTGGCTGGTTTTGAGGCTCATGTAACCACTGTTCATACTGGAGGTTTACATACATTAGTAAACTGTAACTATAAAAATTAAATTATGTTTTGCTGTCTCTTGCAGCAGCTGTAGACTGAGAAAAAATATACACTGGGCCGACTGCCGGCAACTTTTAAGATGAAACATTTACTTGTTATGTTACTCAATGCATGAGTTGATGATGTAATCTTTTTAAATGCCCCACTGAAAGAGACTCTCACTGCAGCCTGTACTATTCTGTTATGAAAATGTCAGCATGTGCAACCCAATTCCATAGACAATAAATGAGGTGCGGACTGATAAAGGAGGAAATACAGTGAGTGCTGGACGGAGCAGTGAGTGACAACAACCGTGCCCGCGTGAAAGAGTACTGTTTGCAGTAGAAAGGCAACGGTCTAGGTACCATGTCTGAGGGTTACTTTTGGTTCCAAAGATACTATACCGAAAGCATTTGGTGGACATGGGCTGCAGAGACCTCTGGGGATGCTTTGGCTCCCGGTAAAAACCTCCACAACATCTGGAGCTAATAAGTTATCAAACAAAAAAGGTGAGAATACATCAGCAGGTGCTGGGCTAGCAGCCCGTCTCTGACATGTCAAGCAGTGTTGGAGAAATTCTGATTTGTAACATGTAACTGCTTTATTGAGTTTTTTAATCAGTTTAAATTATCAGGTCTGTTTGTATTGGAGTGGAGGAAGCTTCTGCGGATACTTCAACCTGGTGCACAACAATGAAGGAATTCTGACTTGGAGAAGTTTCAGATGGTTGCAATCTGCAGTCCTCACCACTAGATGCCACTAGAGTCCCCTAAATCTTACACAACATTCCTTTAATGTAAAACAGACCATTAAGGCAAAACCTGTAAGGTCAAGACTGTGACATTTCTGTTCTTTTTGTATGATTTCATATTTTATGAATTGTAACGGGCACATGTGTCTCTGTTTTCTGCAGTTTAAGTGAAGGAAAATGTAGTAAAAAGGCAGGGAAAGTCAACATGTAACATTAGAGTCTGAGGTTGTACTCTTAAGGTGTAAAAACTCAAACTGTATTTCTGCTGTTACTGTTTAATACCAAGAGGATGGCAAAGGACTTGTACAAATGCTACTAAATATATCTAGATTTTTGGAAACATCCACCTTAAATATTTTAGTAGGAGTATATAGGCCCTGCAAAGTCTTATTTCCATCATACAAGCAACATTGTAAATGATTAATCTACCATGACTGCCTTTGTCTGAGAGCAGATAAAAGTTTTAAATCTAGTGAAGTGCTCTTTCAAGGTTTTTGTTTGATCAGCACAGCAGATGATAAGACAAGAGCAAAACTCTCATCAAGCAACTCAAAACGACATGTAACAAAAAGCATGAGCCAAAGGTCAATGCTCAGTCAATGAGAGAAACACTAAGATGAATAAGACAAAAGGAAAATGGATGATGATAAAACATAAAACATCAACTTACATGGGATTCCCAAATCACTGTTTTCTTTGGGCTCAGTGGACTTCTGAAACAATGAACCTTGGGACGAGAAAAGAAGGGGATGGTGGAATGGATGGAGGAAGGGAGAGGAACACAAACAATCAAAATCAAACAAAGAGGTCAAATAAAATGGGAAAAACAAGGCAGGACATGGACACAAAAACTCCTCGACATGCCAAAGCTTGTTTCTTTCTTTGTGTCGTTCTTGCTTTTCTACTCGTCTATATTAAGTTCAGTTGTCTTAGTCTAGGAATCAATATTGAAAGGTCTGAAAACAAAACAAACAAAATAAAGCTAATTAAATCACCTCATAGGACAAAAAAAGTATATAATTTGAGAAACCCTACTGTCTGTAAGACGGTTACTGCTGTGTCATGCTGAGTGGTCCACTTAGTGAGACAGAGGGTCTATGACACAGACGAACTGCTGATGTACTTATGTATAATTGAAGTGCTGGTGTATAATTGATAAAGGCAACATGGTGCGCTTAAAAGCTTCTCGCCAGACCTACTGGACGTACAAGTCACACCGATCATCACCAAAGGGCAAGAAAAGCTGATGAGGTTAAGTGGGGTGATGTGCAAATACAGTAAAAACATACAGTGAGACTGTCTCCCTCCAAAATACGACCACATGGGTCTTTGAACAAGCAGCTTTTTACAACCTATATTTACATTTGTTAGGCTGCAACCTCTGGGTGCCATAGAAATTATGACAGGAGCAAAGGAAGAAGTCAGGAGATGTAGTATAAAGAGGAACTGACACAAACAAAGGACTTTGATACAGGAGGCTGCTGTTAGTGTCCCGTGTGAAACCAAAACTCAGCACTGAGATATTTTAACTATGCAAAAGAGTAGTAGTTAACTTATGTGCAGAGGTTACATAACAAACATTTACATTAATATGATTTTGATTCAAACCTTTTTTTCTAAACCTAATCAAGTGGTTTTGTGGCCTAAACCAGTAGTTATAATATTAATACTGCTGCTCACACAATGATAAAACACAATAAAACTGTGACTGTTAACAGTAAATTATGACCTATTCTTGTCGTTTAGGAATGAGGATGTGTTTATTTCCTGCCACTGGTGGGGGCGACACATTCTCACCACTCACTTGTCAAATACCAGCACTACTCATCAAGCTATGAGGCTCTGGAACTGCCCCTGCATCACTTTTGGACGCTCAGGGATGGCTTCTAAATTTGTGCTTGTTAAATGCACTGTGTCTTTTCAAAATAAACCTCTCTTTTTTTTCAGGAATGTACAGTTTTCAAAATAAACTTAAGACACCTTGCTTTTAGGCTACAAAAGTATGTGGTTAGGGTTAGAAAAAAACACCATGGTTTGGCTTAAAATAAGTTTGTTTTTTACTAACCTTACACAATGTCACGTAACATACATCACATAGATAAGACATCCGCCTTGTATGCTACACATATTAGCACATTACACTGTCATTAAAATACCTTGATAGACATCTGGTTTCACATGGGAAACACCCATCCCATCCACCTCTCCTCCCACCCATCCTATAGAGACCTTCTTACTCTTCACACTACAGCAGTTACTAAGCGCATCAAAAAATGATGCTGTCCAGTGCACTTTAAGTTGGATTTATACTTGTGCGTCAGCTCTATGCAGAGCCTACGCACATGGCTTACGCTGTTGTGAGCATTTATACTTGTGCATTAGTGTATCTGTGTCGCTCTGCAGTTACGCCTACAAAACACTAGTCTGCAGTGGGTTTTCTGTGAAGTGATGGAAAGTTTAGTTGATTCAAAACACACATTAAACATGGCTTAATAGAGACAATTTCAAACACGAGTGAACAAATCAGCTTCACTATAACTCGCAGCATTCACAGACACAGCACTTGTCTTTTGCTGGACACATTTTCCCCACAAATACAACATGCTAATGTTTTTAGCACAAGCCTATACAATTTTACATTGTAAAAATTAGCCTAGTGGCTAGTGGACTTTTCCCCCTCTCATATAAAGCCAGGGACAACAGCAATATTTAACAAAGGTAACATTACAAAATTCAGCTCCGTTACAGCTCAAGGTTCACTGACAAAACAACTGTCTTATACTAAACAAGTTTTCCAAACAAATACAACATGCTAACATTGTTTTCACAAGCCTATGACATTTTACACTGCATAAATTAGCCTAGCCACAAGCGGAGATTTCCTCTCCTCATATGTAGCTAGGATAAATCACAAAGTTTAGATCCCCGAAGGATAAATCAAACACCAGATGTAAAATGTTATTTTTCAGAGGCTTTACTATCCTCACAATTTCTTATTTCTTATTTATGGAATTAAAGTAAATAAAAAGGACGCTGTAGGTATTGCTCCGATTCAACACATTAGTATAAATCCCACATTATACCACCATTAAAGCGTGCATCAGTGTCAAGCGTCAGTATTTGATGAGTTGGGAATGAGACCAGGTTTGTGGGTGCACTAAAACAGGAAACGCTCCTGTGGGTCGTATTAGAGGGTAGAAACAAACAACCTATGGGATCATATGGGTTGGAGGACTTGTTTCACAGCTTTTCTTTATGCAGGTAGGCTTGGAAGTTAGCGCAATCTGGTTAGTCATACTGTTCAAAGTGTTTTGGGCATTACTTAGCATGCTCCAGCACTGTATTATCAGATTTCTTATTCTTGTATCAAATGACTGAGCAACTGACTGTGTTTACATGCATCTAAGAAATGTCATGCTGATTAATGTCTGATTCAGAGATGATGGTAGGTGCAACATGCCATGACAGAAACTTATCATCTTCCAATTATAATACAGTTGTTTAAACAAATATTAAAAACATGATGACTGGAAAATGAAGCGTAATTGATTTAGTAAGAGCCAACAGAAGCAATATGAAAGAAAAAGATGTCACAGATGAGGACAAAACATTTTAGAAAAGAAGCAGAAAATGGCTAACAAGCAGCGTAAGAAACAATACGACTTGGCGATTAGAATTCACAATGAGAAGAAACACAAGTGGAAAGAATGGAGCTTCAATGGAGAGATGGCTTGTTTGATGCTCTGCAGTACCTGCTGACACTGCTGATAGCTTTGTATAATACAACACAAACACGATTCAATGTTCTCTCCAAACACTAAAGTTACATAACAGCCAGTATCTCTAGTGATTACTTGTGGTTTTAGAGACCACACAGCAGATTTTATTTGCTCTGGAGGTATAGCTATGTGGCGCTCACACACACACACACACACACACAAACACACACACACACAAGTAGGTAGTGAGTGAAATGTCATGCTCTCGAGGATGACACAGTGGAGCTCTGACTGAATCTGCTCCAAGAATTCTGATCGATGTGTCAGAAAAATGTCAACAGGCCAAAAGATATAAAACAACACAAACAACTCTTAAAAAAATACGTGAAAGACTTCCAACTTCTGTCACAAGAAGACACAAACACACACAAATACACACACAGACATATATACAGGCTCACACCGATAAACACATAACCACAAAAAGAGAGGAGGCACTCCACGCGGGGCAGAAGTGAGGTCAAATGGATTTCTACCTCTCAGGATTTAACAGGACAACTTTAGAAAAAGGGCAGCAAGAGATGGCGGAGGAGATGAATAGAGAGGCGGGAGGTGTTGGTGGAGAGAGAACAAGAAAAAGAGAGAGGGAAAACGAGTGAGAGTAGAGTGAAGTACTTTCTGAGCACAAAGTCAATTACAGAGCACTATCTAAAACATTAACTCCCCCTCTACATTGACATTATCAGTTCATTCACAAAACTGAAACCCTTAAAGTTACTACTTATAGATAAAGCAGAAAACCACTGTTGTACTTTTTTCCATTAAATTGAGTCTGAAGACGTTGTGCTAAAAACCCGAGAGACATATCCAGCATAAACAAATACAAATTGTAGCTTATATCTAAAGCTGTGCCAACAGCACTTCATTTCAAGCAAAATGTCTTCTAATATTTTTTTGTGTTTTACTTAGGGGTGCAATGATATGTTGATCAAGATCGATATATCGATTCAAAGATCAACGATCCAATATTATCGATACAAAGTGAAAACTTCTCAAGTTCATCTACCCCTAAGTGTGGTTCATTTGGGCAGGTGTGAACACATCAATCGCACCAAAACAACAGGACCGAGACCTTCTTGAAAACGGTGGTAGAACTCTGGTGTAGTTCGCTTGTGGTGAGAACGTGTTCCGACCTCGTTCCGAACCAACTGCAGTCACATGACCTATTGTTTGGGTTAAACATGAGCATGTTACAGTCCTGGAGGATTATTAATGTGCACCTCCTCCTGTACTGCCTTAATATGCACATTCAGCACATCCAATGCATCAACACATTGTTTTCTAGTTGGAGCCGTGCCTCATTTTCAAACTGTATGGTTTGACTAAAATGAACAATGACAGCAATATAGTCCATGATGACCAGCGCTAAAATCAACCTGCGTAGTTGTCCCTCCATTGTCACATTAGAAAGTGTCACATTTATCTTGCAAGTGTACTCTTCTTCAATGTCTTGTTTACTTCCTGGATTTTAACCGCATAAAATTCTGACCAATCAAGAGCAGCTTTCTCGCACAAGGCATTTGATCTGGTCCGCTTGTAAATGCTGCCGTGAGAACACAAATCCAACTCTAGGCAATTATGCAACTTTGTAACGAAATTAGCCGCTGATTCGGACCAAAGCAAATGAACTCCAAGCCTGAAAGCACTCTAAAATATGCCTTTATTTTGAAATTCCCATGGCATGTCTATTTCACCAAGAACAACTCCTTCAACATCCAAACAGTGCAAGCAGCAGAGCACCAGGCAAACAATGGTAGGCAGTCAAGAAAAAGACTGAGGATATCAACTAATACTGTCTCATATCAATCAAAAGCCCCTGAATTTAATTGAATTGAAACTGGATCATGGCAGACTAAGTGATCTGAGCAAATATATCGTGTCCTTGTCCAAAGAAAAAATATAAAATTGCATCATGTTAAAACCTGTGACTTACAACTCTAGTTTTACT